TGCGACAAGCCTCAGCCTCCTTTGGTTGGCTGAAAAAGAGGGGGTTCTTTCTAGTACAATGACCTGATCAGCACAATAACAGCTGTCCACAAGGCATTGTGCCTCTCAACCCTCTTATGTGGCTGCGAGGCATGGACAACATACAGCCGGCACATAAAACTGGTACAGGCCTTTTACATCCTATGCCAACAAGGCATCCTTGGAGTCAGGTGGCAAAACCGTATAGCACACACTGAAATATTAGAACGAACCCTCAACCAGTATATATACAAGGACTGTTTTCTTGGAATTGCTCTTACTTGATACAGCTATCGTGCTGTGACGGTTTCACCTGAAGACGGAAGCGTGTGTTGCCTTCGAAACGTCGTGATTTTTATTTTTTATTCTATTTTTATTTTGCTTTTATCAATTTTAATTTTTTTTACCTACATGACTTTACCGAAAAAACCTAAGAATATGAAAACGAACAAACTGCCAAAACATGGAAACCATCATCACCCAGCGTCAACTTTGCTGGCTCGGACACGTCACACGAATGTCAGGACAACGCCTTCCCATGAGGGTCGTATATGCCAACTACACGATGTCCAGAAAAAAAGGCGCTACAAGGCCCGGTTAAAAGTAGCCATGAAAAAGTGCAGCGTCAAACTGACAAGCCTCGAAGACCTTACTGCAGAGCGGTCCACCTGGAAGTTACACTGTGAGGGCCTGCAAAACCTGGAGGCAAAGATAATGGGAATATGCCGTTAAAAACGTGAAGATAGACACGGGCGTCTTACGGCACTCAACCCACCAACACCAAACCCAGCTTTGTGTGTTCTGACAAACAGTGCACGTCACGAATTGGACTTTCTAACCATCAAAGGACTCATCGCTAAAGTAGAAGAGGAAGTCATCATCGAACACGATGCACTACCATAAGAGGAAGAGTGAGAGAATGAGTGGGTGAATAAGTGGGTGAGTGCTGCTCACTATTTACTGCACTTGCCCATACAGTTCTGCTAGAGGCTAATCTTTATCTTTGTAGAGAGTGAATGAGTGGGTGAGTAAGTGGGTGAGAGAGTGGATGAGTGGGCGAGTGGGTGAGTGGGTGGGTGAGTGCTACTCGCTACTAGCAGCACTTGCCCAAACAGTTTGTTACAGGCTACACACGGGGGTGGTGATTTGTCTTTGTGCGTCCTTAAGTGGAATTGTTCCATCGTTCGATACGATGCTTGCATCGATTTTTAAAGTTAAGATCTCAATTTGGAAAAAAATATATGATAATAACCACAAACGGAAGACAAAAGAAGAACGAGAAACATCTTAAGGGATCGGAGAGAGAAGCACCGTCATGTTATTTTTTTGTACAAAAAAAGTGGAAAAAAAATTCCCCCCAAAAAACAAACGACCGGATATCAACAACTTAAGTAGCAAAAAAACTAAAAATTTAACCAGCAAACGACAAACGAACGAACGACAATAATAATATTAAAATTACAATCACAATTATTATAATAATATCAGGCTCGCGTGAGCGTAACGAACGCCACCACCACCGCCGAGAGAGAGAAACATCGGCGCGATTCCAAAGAAAACAAAACACCCCAAATTTCCTCAAAACCTGAATCCTTGTCACTTGTGTAAAATCATCATCAAGAATTACAACTCAGACAAACTGGCGGACAGTGGTGGAGTGGTGGGTGGGTTCGTGGTGGGTGGAAACCCATCGCAGTCGTTAAAGATCCATAATCACGATCACCCTCATCATCGTCGTCATCCTCATTGTAAAAATTGCCTCTCTTATTTTGCAAAAATGTCTCCGCATTTGCCACTGCCACCACCTTCACCGCCACCACCGTCGCCACCGCCGTTTTAAAAAGGATAAAAGTATACAGGGGGGGGAGGAGGGGGTTGGGACATGACCGTCCGTTTAAAACACAAAGCACCCGTGTGTGTGCGTCACGCGACGTGACTTTCAGTGCGAGGGGGCGGCACGGCGACGTCACGATGAGCGACATTATGACGGGCGATGACGTCATGATGAGCGGCGACGTCACGACGAGCGAGAAATCATGGCGAGCGGCAATAGCACCAGAGCTTGCGAGCTCACCGATTGGTCGCTTATTTTGGAGGGAGGGGGCAGGAGCGGTGGGGTGGGGGGGTCGGGGGGGGGCGTGACGTCACCGCGTTTCCGTTTAGTGGGGGGAAGGGAGGAGATGTGACGAGCCAGCGGCGCCAGCCAATCGGAGCTCTCCGTGTGTGCACGCTGCACTCCGATTGGTGGGGCTTCATTTTCGCCATCGGCCAGTCACGGGTTTTTAGCCGCCATCTTTACACACAAAAATCTAATCCAATTTATTGAATAAAATTATATTAAAAAAACCTCACTCGATTATTAACGACGCAACAGCGCAAGATGTGTACAAACAAAACAAACGACAACAATAAGAATAAAACGGCAAAAACGTTTAAAAATTTCAGCACGAATGCGCAATGGTGACGACGAGGAGCAGGAGCAGGAGGCCAGCACCAATGACGTCATCGTCGTCATTCATTGCTCGTGGTGTCGTCGCAGTTCATTTAAAAATCGGTAAAAAAAACAACATACAAAAGGGATTGACCCAATTCCCCCCGAGACCCCCCACAACCCCACGCGCCCCGCAACCCTCACACCCAGAGACCGTTTCCTGATTTAGATTCCGCCCACCTACCAGGTCCGCCCGCTGGCACCACCCGCATAATTAGCAAACAAGCACGCTCACCCTTTAAATAATATTGATGGGTCCCAGTTCGGTTATGGGTAAAAATCTTCTTCGTATCGATCACTGCCTCTCGACGGTTAATAACATAAATGATCGTCGTTATTGTCATTGTTGTCATCAACGGATATACATTTTTAATCACCACCACGAATCATCGAGACCTCTTACGTCGCTGTGTAGCCCACCGAGGATAACCACTTTGCATTTTTCACTCTATCAAGACAACAGCTGGCCTATTCACTGCACACGCGGACGGACGGACGGAAGGGCGTAAGGGCACCGATAGGACCTGCCCATGACGCCGCTGATGATGTTAACACCACTTAGGCAATGTTTAGCTTCAAAATGCCTGCGGAAGTCGCCTCCCACACCCACAAGCCTGGGCCTTATGTGGAGGAGCCTCCTCGCAGGCTGCACGCCTAGGCCTAGTGCGGGGTCACCTCGCACACCGCAGGCTGCAGGCCTGGGTCTAGCACGGAGGAGTCTCCTCATAGGCTGCAGGCTTGGGCCTAGTGTGAAGGCAAATGTTCGATGGTGAGCCTCCCTCCCTTGGTTGCGCATGTTCCCACTCCCCCCCTGGCTACAACCCCTCTGGTCGCCTCGGTTTCAGCCGGGCACCAGTCTTGTCACCTGAGCCGGTACCATCACCACATCCAGTATTACATCACCCCATCCTCATTATGTGGATGCTACCACCACTAACTGCTACTGTTACCACCACTTCTACTCTGCAAGGGTCATGTGCCGCTTACACACCATGCATCCTGTCTACAACCACCTCCAGTGACGCCTGGTGGGGGGGGGGGGGGAATCTTGAGAAATGAAGCCCTGAATGCAGCATCCGCCGATCGTGCCACCGCCGTCAGTATACCCCTGGGTAGATCCGCACGTCCCTAAATCTCTACGCGCATCGCTCAACTTTGAGGTAGCCACTGCACAACAAAGCACCAAGAAATTAACCCCACCCACCCATCCCACTACCCCCCCCACCCAACCCGCCCACCGACTCCGTTTCCACCTTACACCACACACCCAACACAGATGACCCACTAACCCACGTCACCGCCATACGCCCCAACAACATCCCCCCTGCCCCCGATAGGAACCATACCCCCGGTTTGGTCTCCGATGGACGGATTTCACCCCTCATTCATCCCTCCCTTGTCTCCTTCTTCCTCCTCGTGTCTCCTCTTCCCCGTGTCCATCTCCTCCTCCTTCCTGTGTCTCCCTCTTCCTACCTACACCTCCTCCTTCATATTGTCCCTCCCTCCGCATCCCCACCTGTTAATTTTGCATTTCGGTGAAGACGTGCTCGTACATATATATACACACATATATCTATTTCTATTACACACAAGGCTTTCCTTTCGATATTCCATTTCATCTCTGCTAACCAAGTCCCTCCTCCATTCATGAGGGAATGTAGCATGCTGAGAGAGAGACACAGTGACCTGCATAAAGTAGACCCGACTACTCTGCAACGTAGGCAAGTCGTCACGTGCTATGTTACCCATCGCTCCCCTGAATTAGCAATTTAGCAGTCGTGTTGAACCACGCTGCTCACCCACACACCTCTGGGACTTAACATGGCCACCGCATCTGCCCCCTATCTCTCTATAGCGTCTCAAGCTGTTCCTGCATCCCTCTCGGATACCTCCGGTCCCCACAGCCATCCCCCGAGCGTGGATTGCAAGCACCGTAATGTTTTTCGGCATCGGGTAGAGAGTTAAAAGATTTAGCAGCCATTGTGAAATTGACTAGACACGACCCTGTCGTGTCCACTCCTCCTCCACACAACCCCGTCGTCATCACCCCAGCAGCACTCCCCCAGCTCCACCGATTTCCTCCTCGCGGTCTCCTGCTGGACCTCACTGCTCCGCCCCCCCCACCCCTCCAGCAAAGAAGTGGAGGTCGGCAACCCCCTCTCCCCCCACCATCGGGGAAACCGATGGCGACGATGGCCGGAGGGCGGGCGGAAGGGGGCGACGGTTCCTGCAAAGCTGTACCCGGAGCTCCTTTCGGAGGCTCCAGTTGCCACCTCACCCCATACCCCACCCCCCCAACCGATTTGCGAGCACCATATTTTTTGTTCCGCATTGGTAGGGAGAGTTAAGAGATTCGGCAGCCATCTTGAAATGGCTGCCCGCGCCTACCGGTGACTCGACACAGCCCCCGTCGTGTTTACTCCTTGACCATTTCTCTAGAACGTCTTTTTAAGCTGTTCCCCGAGCTCCCTTTCGGAGGCTCTGGCTCCCACCCACCCACCCCCCAACCGATTTGCGAGCACCGTATTATTTCTGCATCGGTAGAGTTACGAGATTTAGCAGCCATCTTTAAATCCCCTTTACCTCCAGGACACTCCCCATCATGTCGACACTGACCCCCACCCTGCCCCCCCATCTTTATCTCTAGAACAGTGGTTCTTAACCTGGGGTGCACGCACCCACTGGAGGTGCGAAAAGCCCTTTCTGGGGGTGCCAGATGTTTTTGTAAGAGACATGGCCATATTTTTGTTAGAAGGTAAATAAACGAAACACAAATTAAGTGTGGGAACGTAAGTACAACTACTTTGTTTCATCAAAACCTATGTATTTATTAACATTATACATTTTTGTTTTACGATTGAGAACCAAAGGGGTGCAAGGCTACGGTAAAGGTTAAGAACCACTACTCTAGAATATCTTCTTAAGCCTTTTCCCAAGTTCCCCTATGGACGCTGCTGGTCTCTTCCAAGTGCGGTTTGCGAGCACCGTGTTTGTTGACGCCTGTAAAACCGATGGCTGGGACGCGAGGGGCTGGGGTGTGAGCGGGGGGGGGGGGTAACACTCCCAGAAAACCGGCAACAAATTAAAGCACCCACTGATACACGCTGAGCGGAGTTCCCTGTGAGGTTCCCTTTGCTATCTGCGTCTCTGTGCATGCGCTCATCTCTGTGTTTCTCTGTGTCAGTGTTGTGTTTCTCCACATGGGTTGTGTGTTTGCGAGGGGCAGTTTTCCTGTGTTTCTCTGGTGTTTGGGTCTCTGTGTACGAGGGAGTCTGTGTCTGTGTGTCAATCATTGTGTCCGTGTGTGTGTCTCGGTGTGCCAGTGAGTGTGTCTGTGTGCGAGTCTCTGCGTGTGAGCAAGTCTGTGTTTGTGTGCGTCTGTGTGTTGTGGGAGCTGTAGTATATTGTTACGCTGCGCTACGAGCCTGGCAACCCAAGTTTGATTCCCGCTCACGGCCAACACCAGTGACGATTATCTGAACTGGTCTTGGGCCTACCCTAGGTCGACTCAGCCTCAAATGAGTACCTGGTGCGGTAAACATCGCCACTAGGGAGACAAAGGCGGCCGTGCATGGTGTTGGCCACCCACCCCTTCGTGTGCCGTGCCAGTCTTCATAGGTGCTCGCTAACAACACTTCCCCAACAGTCTGTTAAAGGCTATACGGCAGATCTGTGTCGGTGTTTGTGCGTGTGTCTGTGTGTGAGCCTCTGTGTATGAGTGAGTCTGCATCTGTGTGTCTGTGTGTGAGTCTCTGTGTGCCAGTGCGTGCCAGTGTGTGCGAGACTCCAACTTTGCGTCGTATCTCCGTGCCCCTTTCCTGTTTGCTCGTTGTCACTTCCCTCTGCGAGTGCAACTGCGTGGACCAATTTCCACACAACTCGCCAACCACACAAAACAACAAAAACAACTTTCCATCATTCATGTCAACTCGATATCTCTCGTCTCATTCAGAGTCCCCTCTTGTCCTTGGAGAATCGCTGGTTCGTTTCTCCCCCAGCATTTCGTTAAAACCACCATCACCGTCACCACCACCGCCATTCACCATCATCACAATTTGAGGTATTCGCGAGTTGAATCTTGCAAGCCAGTGGACGGAAGAGAGGGAGGAGGAGCAAGGAGGGGTTGGGGAGGGGAAACAGGAGCTGAAGGAGACACCGGATGGGAGAGTGGGCAGGTGGAACGGAACACTGGTGGAGAGAGATGGAGGCAATGGAGGAGATGGAGGACGAGGTGGAGGAGGTGGAGATCAGGTAGAAAATCCAGCACCGAAAAGTTTTTTTTGCAAAAGGTGCCAACCAACTCCCGCCAACTCCGAACCTCCGACAGCTCTCCCCCTGCTGCCCCCCCCAAACCACCGCCCACCCCCCGCCACCGCTGCAGATTAATTGTAAAAAGGTCTCCCCTCGAACGCATTCGGCCCAGTATAAAAACAAAAACAGATGGTAGCACCAGTGAAGTAACGATGGCTTGGTAATCGTAACCGCTCGGCTCTTGTAGCACCAATAATTCACCTCAGCCTCTCCCATCACGACTCCGCTAGGCTATAGCCATCCCCCGCACCTCACTCACTCACCCACTCACCACCACCACCACCGTCATCGGGGCTGCTCCCTGAGAGTCCATCCCCAGAGTCTGTGACGTGCAGTGGGCGGAGGAAGTGGGGGGGGGGAGATGGGAGGGGAGAGAGCCCCATTTGGGAGGTGACCGGCTCAGCGCCGTGAGAGTGAGGGTTGGCACTGCTGCTGCTGCTGCTTCCATTGAAAATGATCGCCACTGATGCCGCTGATGCTGCTTGCTGCTGCTGATGCAGCTACTGGTGTCGGTATATTCTCCTGTAGCTGTTGATGACGACGATGATGGCTGCCGCTGCCGATTATGACGATACTCATGATGAAGTCGAAGCTCGCACCGATTTAGTTTTTTATTGCTGTTACTCCGTGGTGGGTGGGGGTGGAGTCTCTTCCAGGGGAAGGGGCTCTGGAAAGTGGGGGGGAAGGGCAGGGGGTGGGGTGGGGTCTGTCGGCCAGCGTGCAAACCCCCTGGCACACCACGTCCAAGTATACCTCTCGCCATTGTGGCTTCCGTGGGCCGTGACCAGCCCCCACTGTGAAAGATGAAGCTGCTGCTGCTCTGCTTCTACCGCCAAAGCAACCACAACCACCACCACCACCACGGCCACAGAGTCGGCCACATCTCCGCCACTCACCTCTCCCATCCCACCCCACACCACCGCCCCACACCACCGCTTCAAAGGAATTCACCGTAGTTGCCGCTCATCTGCATGCGCGGCCGCACACACGTGGTGAGGAACGTGGGCGGAGTGGCCGTGGTGCCGGGGGCCCCCCGCGTCGGGGGACCCGGCGGCAGGAGAGGGAACGACGATGACGCGGGGGCCACCCCCGTCGCTGCCGTTGCCCCCTCAGCGGGCCCCCGAGCTCCGCCAATCTCCTCCCCGCCATCTCCACCGGATGTCGCCCCTCCGTCGCTGCCGCCGCCCGCAAAGAAGTGGAGGTCGGCAGCGCCCCCTACCCCCAGGAGAGCCGATGGCGATGACGACAGCGGTGGCGCCCACTCTTGCTTGAGGCCAGGCCGCAGCCTGGGCCTGCCCTTGGCGGCAGGGGGATCGTCCGGGCGCCGGGGCCTCCGTCCACGCTTGGCTGGGATGGCGGCCGGGGAGAGCGGCGGCCGCTGCTTCTCCGGCGTAGGGGACGAAGGGGAGTCCAGCCCCAGAAGCTGTTGCTGGGCCTGCTGCTGGCGGAGGAGCTCCTTCTCTCTGTGGGCAGTGGGTGGAGGGGTGGGGCGGGTGTCACGGCAGAGAGATGTTAGCTACCTAGTCTGGGATTCAGGAGGTCACGGGCTCCATCCTGACTGTGAAGCCCGCTGTATAAAGTGGAACCCCTCCTTTGAACCGGTTGTTAAGTGATTTGGTCATTAAGCGAGTACAGGCAGTCCCCAGGTTACGGAAGGGTTAGGTTGCCGAGAATGATCAGTAACCTGAATTTTATGTATGTCGGAAGCTGAACAATTTTCCCCCAAAATCAAGATAAATTCCCATAGCCGGAAATAGTTGTGCCTCCCCTACCCAATGACTGTGCTCATTCTCTCTCAATACGGTATCACGCTGTCATCCATTTTCTTTCACTATCTTATCGTATCATTGTACATAATGCTCTGCACCTCCTATGAGTATTTAATTTAATCAAATATCTACCCTAACACTACTAATAAAACACTGCATACTCTAACCAATTGTTTAGAAATACCACGGAACATTTTTATATTGTAAACAGAAAGCAGTAATTTTTGAATATTCGTTTACATGCATTAGGCTAGGCCTAGACTTCTCCAATCGCTGTTGGTTAAGACCATAAGCAATCGAAGTGTAATTGTGTTAAAGTACAAATTAAGTAAATAACTCATGAAATAGACTTTAAATGAAAACTAGCAACATAAACATTGGGCAAAAAAGAGAGTTCTAAGCATAGAAAGAAAACAATTACGTAATGCAGCCTGCCTTATGCCTCCATCCGTGGTATTCATCTGCAACCTCACCACGCTGCACTACTTGCGTTTACGTAACAAACACAAACATGATCATTGTTTTTTTACTCTTATATCTGGCAACAAAACTTGCCAGATAGAAGGGTAAAAAAAACAATTATCATATTTTTTTACTGGCAAATGAGGTTCCAATGGTGTAAATGCTTACCCCGAGCTCTCATACTCTGATGGTGCATTGTCTTTGAGTTGTGCGCCTTTTGGCGTCATCTGGTCCAACCCATGTGAGACTAGGCTCTAAGGAAAGCTGTCTCGGGTGTGGACCAATCAACTTCAAGGACAGTGCATATATTATCAGAGTTATGTTTTTTTGGCATTATGCCTGCCGGTATTGTGGTCTATGCAAACATGACTCCTTGTAAAAAAGGTTTTGTTGCCAGATATAAGGGTAAAAAACCAATTGTCATATTTTTTACTGGCAAATGAGGTTCCAATGCTGTAAACGCAAACATTTCCGCATATAGATTTTTTTACATGATTTATGAAAGCATTTCCGTAAGGTCGGATTTCCCTAAGTTGGGTCTTCCGTAACCCGGGGACTATCTGTACGACACACCACTACACTACACACAACTACCCACGTCTCCCTTCCCCCCCACGCGTCCCGCTCCCTTCCCCCGCTCCCTTCCTCTGCTCCCGTCTCTCACCTCTCCCGTGCGGCCACCCTGGCCTCCCAGAGTGCGTGTCCGTGGCGGGCGCGCGTCAGGTTCTTGTGCTGGTAGAAGACGAGGGCGATGCGTGTGGGTTGTGCACGGTCGGGGTGCGCCAGCGGCGTGGTGGCATGCAGCTCGCGCTTGGCACACTCGATAAGCACCGAGCCATGCGCCGGAGCCACCGCCACACCGCCGATGCTCGAGTCCAGGAAGTTGTGCTCGCTGTCCGAATACTCCTCATCCTGCTCTTGCTGCTCCTGCTCGAATGTCGCCTGCTGCTCCATCTCCTCCTTCTCAACCTTCTCAATCTTCTCAATCTTCTCTCTCGTCACCTCCTTCATGGCCACGGAGGAGGAGAAGGAGGTGGCAGCAGTCTGATGCTGCTGATGAAAGTGATCCTGGGGAAGATCAGAGTTGAGGATTAATGTGAGGTGATGGTGATGATGATAATGGTGATCAGGCTACTGCTGGTGATGGTGATGATGATGGTGAGGATCGAAGTGCCACAGTGGCTAGGAGATGTTAACTCCCTCGCCTGTAAACAGGAGGTCGTGGGTTTGACCCCAACCCTGACGATGCCTGCTGCTTTATATTTGAGTTTTGTGTGTCTCTCATCATAATCACGATGGCTAGGAGATGTTAGCTACATCGCCTGGTATGCAGGAGGTCGTGGGTTCGATCCCCAGCCCGACGATGCCTGCTGCTGCTGTATATATGGAGTCTGCGATTCTCTTTCTCTCCATGTGGTGGTCACTGCATGGATTTTTCTCCGCAGTCCTCCGTTTTTTCCCCTTCACATTTAGAATCAATGTCACATGTTTAAAGTGTTTGGCTACTGCTATAAATTTCCATGTAATGATATCAGGCACTTCTTTGAGCTATAATTTGTGATAGCTACGTCGTTACTGAAAAAGACCTATTTCGCTCAGTGGGGCCTTACCTGGTAAAATTAAACAAAGTAAATAGTTAAAATAGTTATGTCGGTGTAATTGATTTACCTGCTGCTGCTGATGATGCTGCTGCTGATGATGATGCTGCTGGTTGTTATCATGATGTGAGTTCTGCTGCTGATGCTGCTGCTGCTCATTCCGCTGATGTTGGTTCTGGTGCATAGATTCGAGCTGGCTTTGCTGCTGCTGATGATGATGATGCTGCTGATGTTGCTGATACTGCTGCTGCTGATGATGTTCTTGCATAGATTCCAGTTGCTTCCTTTCCAGCTGCGGATGACTGTGCTGATGTGGGTGCTGCTGCTGATGATGTTGATGTTCACTCAGCTGCTGCTGCTGAGCCTGCTGTTGTTGATCCAACAGTTTCTGCTGCTGCTGCTGATGTTCATGGTGATCACTACGTTGCCCTTCATGCTGATGCTGCTGCCGATGCCCCAAGTCACCCTCCATCTTAACTTCACTCTTCATAACGTGCTGGTGACAATGCTGCTGATGATTCATCAGCAGACCTTGCCAACCACCACCATCACTACCACCATCTTCTTTCAACCCATTCACAACCTTAGTTTGGTGATGCTGGTTCTGCTGATGCTGGTACTGCTGCTGCTGCTGATTCTGCTGATGCTGGTTCTGCTGATGATGATTCTGACGATGCTGGGTGTGCCCATCTTCATCAACGCAATCCCGCGGCTCCATCTTCACCGTCACCGACTCCGTCAACTCCTCCTCCTTGGACGTTCCGGCCAATCCAACGCCTCCATTGGCCCGGGCCCCGATGGCCTCACTGCTGCTGCCTTTCGATTGGTCCACGGGCCGTTGCCACGACGATGACAATGACGATAACGACGCCGCCTCCTCCGCCCGGTAGTAGGCCCCGCCCATCGTAGGACCCCCCGTCCACCAATCGAGCGGCTCCGCCTTAATCCTGGCCCCACCTATTGGCCCCGCCCTCCGTCCCGTGGCAACCATGTCCCTGGAGGCTGAGCCTATGCCCAGCAGGGCACGCTCCGATTGGATGTCGGTCCTTTCCAATGCCACCGATGTTGATGACGATGCCTGCTGATGCTGCTGCTGCTGCTGAATATGATGTTGATGAGGCTTTTGGAGGAGATGGTGGAGGTGGTGGTGGCTGTTGAGGGAAACATGGTGGGTGCTGCTGTCACTGTTGCTGTTGTATTGGTGGTTTTGGAAGGCCTGCTGATGATGATTTTGGCTGATGCTGCTGCTGATGCTGCTGCTGATGCTGCTGCTGATGCTGCTGCTGATGCTGCTGTTTAAACTGTACCGGCTTTGGTCTTCCTGTTGCTGATTCTGCTGCTGATGATGCTGCTGTGGTTGACAGCCATCTTGTTTTTCAGCCAATGCAATTCCTTGCTGCTGTTGATGATGATGCTGATGCTGATGATGATTTTGGCTGCTGCTGATGCTACTGTTCAAAGTGTACCGGCTTTGGTCTTCCTGCTGCTGGTTCTGCTGCTGCTGATTCTGCTGCTGCTGATTCTGCTGCTGCTGCTGATTCTGCTGCTGCTGCTGATTCTGCTGCTGCTGCTGATTCTGCTGCTGCTGACTCTGCTGCTGCTGACTCTGCTGCGGATTCTGCTGCTGCTGACTCTGCTGCTGCTGATTCTGCTGCTGATGATGATTCTGCTGCTGACTCTGCTGCTGCTGATTCTGCTGCTGATGATGCTGTGGTTGGCAGCCATCTCGTTTTTCAGCCAATGGAATTCCTTGCTGCTGCTGCTGATGATGATTTTGTCTGCTGTTATTGTTTAAACTGTGCTGGCTTTGGTCTTCCTGCTGCTCATTCTGCTGCTGCTGATTCTGCTGCTGCTGATTCTGCTGTTGTTGTTGCTGATTCTGCTGCTGTTGTTGTTGTTGCTGATTCTGCTGTTGTTGTTGCTGATTCTGCTGCTGTTGTTGCTGAAGACGATGCTGTTGTTGGTAGCCATCTTGTTTTTCAGGCAATGCAATTCTTTGCTGCTGATCATGATTTTGGCTGCTGTTGCTGATGCTGCTGTTTAAACAGTGTTGGCTTTGGTCTTCCTGCTGCTGATGATGTTGCTGGTAACGACCATCTTGTTTTTCACATATTCCTGTTTCATGCTGGTGCTGTTGCTGCAGTTGATGATGATGCTGCTGGGACTGGCCTACATCACCTGCTGATGCTACTGCTGTGTAATCATACAGAGCTCCATTGGGCCGCAAGCACTGCTGCTGTTGCTGCTGCTGTTGCTGATGATGATGCTGCTGATGGTGATAAAGAAGCCCTGGGCTATATGCGTTTGCCTGTAGTAGGTGTTGTGGAGGGTAGTGTGCGTTTAGGGGTTGCTGATGATACTGCTGATGTTGATGCTGGTAGAGGAATGACAACGGTGGGATGAGAGGAGAGGGCAGAGACTGCGTCCTTGGAGGAATGGCGGCTGGGGGGAGAGGAGAGGGTTTTAAAGTTAAGACAGGAGACATACACACAAAAGACAGACACCCCACCCATATAGCCTCTAACAGTGCTGTAGGGGCAAGTGCTGTTAGTAGTAGTGAGCAGTGGCAGCGCCTATGAAGGCCGTCACTGTGGCACCACATGAGAGGGGGTGGCCGGCCAGCACCACGCCCGACCGACTTAGTCTCCCCAGTGGTGATGTTTACTGCACATCGCACCAGGTACTCATTTAAGTCGACCTAGGGGAGGCCCAGGAATGGTTGAGATTACCGCTGCTGCCACTGGTGTTGGTAGTGTTTGCCCTGAGCGGGAATTGAACTCAGATCTCTCCCCGGTTCATAGCACAGGGCCGGATTAACCACTGCACCACCACTCAACACCCCCCTCACCGCCACCGACTCACCCACCGACTCACTCACCCACCCACCGACTAACCCACCCACTCACCGAGTCACCCACTCACCGAGTCACCCACCCACTCATCCCCTGAGCCACCGACCCTCCCACCAACTCACCGACCAACCCACCCACCGATTCACCCACCCACCCACTCACCCACCCACACACTCACCCACCGACTCACACACCCATCCCCCACCCCCCCACTCACCTCCTCCGCCCCTCCTCCTCCTCGTCCTCTTCACTTTCCACAGAGGCGGGGTCATGGCCGGGGTCAGAGATCGTGCCCCCAGAGGGGTCATCGGAGTGCCCGGGGTCATGGGAGTCATGGGAGTCATGGGGGTCATGGGGGTCATCGGAGTCATGGGGGTCATGGGGGTCATGGGGGTCGCGGGGGTCCCCGGGGTCGTGGGTGTCATGGCGGCGAGGGCGTCCAACTTGGCCCTCTTGGCGTCGAGCCGCCGCCTCCGCGCCGACTTCTCCGGGGCTGGGAGGCGGCGGACCTCCCTCCGGAACGACTTCAGCACCTGGACGGCAGGACCAATCAGGGGGTCGTTACAGACCACGCCCTCTCTCTCTCCACCAATCAGGTGATCGTTACAGACCACACCCTCTCTCTCTCCACCAATCAGGTGATCGTTACAGACCACGCCCTCTCTCTCTCCACCAATCAGGTGATCGTTACAGACCACGCCCTCTCTCTCTCCACCAATCAGGTGATCGTTACAGACCACACCCTGTCTCTCTCCACCAATCAGGCGATCGTTATAGACTACGCCCTGTCCCTCTCTCTCTCTCTCCCAACCAATCAGGCGGTCGTTACAGGCCACTCCCTGTCTCTCTCTCAACCAACCAATTGGGCGATCGTTACACACCACACCCTGTCTCTCTCTCTCTGGCTCTCTCAACCAATCAGGCGATCGTTACAGACTATGCCCTGTCTCTCTCAACCAATCAGGAGATCGTTATAGGCCACACCCTGTCTCTCTCTCAACCAATTAGGTGATCGTTAAAGACGACACCCTGTGTCTCTCTCTCTCTCAACCAATCAGGCGATCGTTACAAATCACGCCCTGTCTCTCTCTCAACCAATCAGGCGATCGTTACGGACCACTCCCAGTCTCTCCCTCGCTCTCTCTCTCTCAACCAATCAGGCGATCGCTATAGACCACACCCTGTCTCTCTCTCAACCAATCAGGCGATCGTTACAGACCATGCCCTTTCCCACTCTGTAGATCTCACTGATTAAAGAACCATCACACTAATGAGCTACATGTGGAAGGCACTAATAATGGTTAGTAGAGTATCACACCTCTTAACGACGGTAACTGGTTCCATGAAACCGGTCGTTAAGTGATTTGGTCGTGAAGCGAGTATAGGAAATACACGTTAAAGGCTTAATTTGATCCGATGGCATCGAAAGTTACCCCTTTTTCTCCACAAAAACGTACTTTAGAATATCTAAACAATGGATATTAATACGTAAAGAGACTAACATTATAAACACAATATTAAAAGAAACATGGTTAATCAATGCATTCATTAATATTTACTGTACCTACAACAGCCCGTCGTTAACAGGGAATGGTCGGTAAGCGAACACATTGGGCTCTATGGAGGTACTACACTACTTTACACTACACTACTATACAATACACTACTATACACTACACTACTATACACTACACTACTATACACGACACCACTATACACTACACTACTATACACTATACTACACCTGGATGGCCCCTCTCTCCCCCCATCCCCCTCTCTCTCTCTGTTTAACACGTAGGCTTTCATGACCAATATCATCCATATTATAGGTTTTTTTGGGTTACATCTCGTAGAAATAGAAATGCGTCGTAAAAACCTGCCACCACTCGAAACAGCCAACTAGTACGGGTTGTCTCTCTCTCTCTCTCCCACTCTCCCCCCTCTCACCTGGATGGCTCCGCTCTCCACCTTGCGCCTCTGGCTGACCTCATCACCGTACTCGTCGGTGGGTGACAGCGTGTACAGGGGCAGCACGTGCAGCTGCTCGTCCTCCGGGATGTCGCCAACGCGCACGCGGTTTTGTTCGCGCGTCAGTGTACACACCTGGGGCAAGCAGCGGCGTCATCAGCAGCAGCATCATCATCAGAAACATCATCAGCATCAGTTGCATCAGCATCAGTAGCATCGTCATCAGCATCATCAGTAGTATCGTCATCAACAGCATCATCATCATCATCAATAACATCAACATCATCAATAGCATCATCAGCAGCAGCAGTATCATCGTCATCATCATCAACAGCATCACCATCAGTAACATCGTCATCATCAAGAGCATCATCAGCAGCAGCATCATCAACATCAGCAGCATCATCATCAGCAGCAGCACGAACATCATCATCAGCAGCAACATCATCAGCAGCACCAGCAGCAACAGGAGCATCATCATCAGCAGCATTGTCATCACCATCAGCAGCAGTGGCAGTGACTACAGTGGCTACCATGGCTACAGTGACGACCGTGTCAACAGTGGTTATCTTAGCCACAGTGGTTACCGTGGCTACCGTGACTACAGTGGCTACCATGGCTACAGTGGATACCATGGCTACAGTGGATACCATGGCTACAGTGGCTAAAGTGGTTACCGTGGCTACAGTGGTTACCATGGTTACAGTGGCTACAGTGGTTACCATGGCTACAGTGGTTAAAATAGCTACAGTGGCTACAGTAGACACAGTAACTACAGTGGCTGCTGTAGTCACTGTAGCCACTCTAGACACCACCCGACACGGCCAATCAGTAAGAAGGTTTGTCACCGAACACAAAACGTTTCCAATTAGTTGATGAGTTCAGCACCAAACCGGTTGTTGTGTGTTGGAGAGTAGTAAACCCACAACACACATTTACAACGTGAGTTACCGTGACGTTTCGCTGGCGATTACAACAGCCAGTAGCCTAGCCAGGTGGCAGCCCAGAGTTTGGGAGAAATTCTCCTCCTGTTGCATTCAAGAGACTGCTTGGCCACAAGTGCTGTGTGTGAGCTTGTCGCAATTAATGCATTGATTCACCATTTTTATTATACTCTTTGGTTTTTTCGGCAAAGTCACGTAGACAGTCTGCATCAGCAGTAGGCCATGTTTTCCCACCTGATGACGGACGCTTGTGTTGCGCCCGAAACGTCGTGATTTAATTTAGTTGTTCTCATTTATTTTGTTAATTTTTTTACCTACGTGACTTTACCGAAAAAAACAAAGAGTATGAATCCTTGCAGTCACGAAAGCTTCGAATATAGACATTTTTATTATGTGTTTATAATATTGTGAGTATCTTTACGCATTCTTATCCACCGCTTAAATATTTTGAAGTACGTTTTTTGGATGAAAAAGGGGTAACTTTCGATGCCATCAGAATTCATTAAGCTTTTAATGTGTATTTCCTATACTCGCTTAACGGCCAAATCACTTAACGACTGGTTTCGTGGAAACAATTTACATAGCTGTCAACCCATACGGTTTACCCGTATTTTTGTACAGGGAAATTGAGTTTTCAGGTCCACACGGTGTACAGTCGTCTTAATACGGGCAGAAAATTTGTCTATTTCTTTGTGTTTCTCCCTTGTGATGGGACTTTGTAGGATGCACGTTAAGATTTATAAGGGCACGGGGTGACCAATAAGGTCTGAATTGGTCTATAATAAGGTAGGGGCACTGATAAGGAGTTGACAGGCATGTAGAGATGAGTGCAGTGGTGAGTGTACTAGTGGTGAGTGTAGTAGTGGTGATTGTCTATTTGTTTGTGTTTCTCTCCCTTGTGATGGGAATTTGTAGGATGAACGTTGAGATTTATAAGGAGCATGGGGTGACCAATATGGTCTGAATTGGTCTGTAATAAGGTAGTGCACTGTTAAGGAGTTGGCAGGTATGGGTTTGCTGTCGTTAAGAGGGGGGGGGGGGGGGGGTACTACCCTACGTGTTAAACTGCCTCAATACGTGTATTTAGCCACGGCCGCACAGCAGAGGTCGCAAACGGGTTTTGATTCCTTACCCGTACCCGGCCGCACCAGGGTTGCAAAATGGGTACCCGTACCCGTACCCGGCTGGGTACGGGTAGCCGTTCCCTACCCGTACCCTACCCGAAATGAGTGACAAACGGCTACTCACCAGTGACTCACGGCCTACCCGTACCCGTACCCGGCCGCACCAGGGCCGCAAACGGGTACGGGTAGCCAGGTATCGGGTAGGGTACGGGTATCGGGTACCCGGTTGCGACCTCTGCCGCACAGTTGTGTGGGAGCTGTGACCTTCTGGTTGTGTCTGCTTCCACTGTAGCAATGTAGCCAGCACCCCCCACCCCACACCGCCGCGAGAGAAATATCCACGAGTAATAATCAACGTCGTTGTTTTTACATTAGGTTGCTAACTGTATGACGGCAAGCTTGTGTTAAATCACGGCCGCGTTGAGGTGCTGCACGGTAGTCACTATATTCAATGTAACCACTGTTTCCAATGTATCAAGTGTATAAAATGTAACCAATGTAGCCACTATCAAATGTAGCCACTGTATCCAATGTATCAAGTGTATAAAATGTAACCACTGTAGCCACTGTATCCAATGTAGCCACTATCAAATCTAGACACTGTATCTAATGTATCAAGTGTATAAACTTTAGCCACTGTATCCAATGTTTCCAGTGTATACAATGTAACCACTATAGCCACTGTATTCAATGTAGCCACTGTCAAATGTAGTCACTGCATACAGTTTATACAATGTAGCCACATTATCAAATGTATCCAGTATAACAACTGTAGCCACTATCCAATGTAGCCATTAGCAAATGTAGCCACTCTATCCAGTGTAAACAATGTAGCCACTAGTCACAGCATCCAATGTATCCAGTGTAACCATTGTAGCCACTGTATCCAATGTAGCCACTATCAAATGTAGCCACTCTATCCAATGTATCCAGTGTATATCATGTAGCCACTGTATCCAATATAGCCACAGGAGTAGGTGGGTGAGTAAACGTGCGGGTGAGTGGGTGAGTAGTTGGGTGAGTAGGTGGGTGAGTGAATGTGTGGGTAGTAGGTAAGTGTGTGGTTGAGTGGGTTAGTAGGTGAGTATGTGGGTGAGTAGATGGATGAGTGACCGGATGGGTGAGCGTGTGTGGTTCAGTGTATGGCTGAGCTTGTGGGTGAGTGACCGTGCAGGAGGGTGAGCATATGGGTGAATAGGTGGGTGGGTGGGTGAGTGGCCGTGCGTGTGGGTGAGCATGTGGGTGGGTTATTGACCCTGTCGGTCAGCTTAAGGGTTATTGACCGTGTCGGTCAGCTTAAGGGTGAGTGAGCATGTGGGTGAGCCAGTGGGTGAATACGTGGGTGGGTTAGCGACCATGTCGGTCAGCTTAAGGGTGAGTGAGCATGTGGGTGAGCCAGTGGGTGAGTACGTGGGTGGGTTAGTGACCATGTCGGTCAGCTTAAGGGTGAGTGAGCATGTGGGTGAGCCAGTGGGTGAGTACGTGGGTGGGTTAGTGATCATGTCGGTCAGCTTAAGGGTGAGTGAGCATGTGGGTGAGCCAGTGGGTGAGTACGTGGGTGGGTTAGTGACCGTGTCGGTCAGCTTTAATTGTGAGTGAGCATGTGGGTGAGCCAGTGGGTGAGTGGTAGCTGCTCACCACTGTGCACCCGTTGTTCATGTTGTGCTGGTCCTTGTGGGCATGGGCGCAGAAGTCCATGCAGGCGGTGACCCCGGCAAAAGGTCGACCCTCACCCTCACCTAGCCGGCATTCACCGGCCTCAACCTCGTGCTCCACCTAGAGACAGAGAGAGACAGAAAGTCACTCACCCACTGACTCACCCACCCACTCAATCACTCAGTCAATCACTCACTCACTCACTCACCCACGCACCCACTCACTCATCCATTCATTCATCCACTCACTCACCATTTCACTCACTTACTCCCCACACATTCACCCACTCACTTACCAACTCGCCCAATAACCCAATCACTCAGAGACAAAGGAGACAGGGGGAGACTCAGAGAGACATGAGGAAACATGGGAGACACGGGGAGACACAGGGAGACTCGGGGAGACACAGAGAGACACGGAGAGATACGGGGAGATATGGGGAGACTCAGGGAGACTCAGAGAGACATGGGAAGAGGCGGAGACTCCGGGGACACACACCTGGTTGCTGTAGGCTTGAGGGGCCAGTTTCTTGTACACCGGAGCAATCTGAGTGGCCAGGGCCTGAAGCCTGGACTCCAGTACCAACTCCTAGAGAGAGAAGGACAGAGAGAGAGAGAGACAAGGGGAGAGAGACGGGGGAAGAGAGAGACACGGGGAGATAGAGACACGGGGGGGGGGGGGGGTCAGAGACGCGGTGGGGAGGAGAACACAGTTACTCACTTCTCTCACAATGCATGGTGGTGTCTGTCTCGTGTTCCTGTGTCTCTCTCATCTCTCTCCCCATGTCTCTATCTCACTGCATCTCTCTCCTCCCCATGTCTCTCTCTCCCTGTGTCTCTCTCATCTCTCTCCCCATGTCTCTATCTCACTGCATCTCTCTCCTCCCCATGTCTCTATCTCCCTGTGTCTCTCTCATCTCTCTACCCATGTCTCTATCTCACTGCATCTCTCTCCTCCCCATGTCTCTCTCTCCCTATGTCTCTCTCATCTCTCTCCCCATGTCTCTATCTCACTGCATATCTCTCCTCCCCATGTCTCTCTCTCCTTGTGTCTCTCTCATCTCTCTCCCCATGTCTCTCTCTCCCTGTGTCTCTCTCATCTCTCTCCCCATGTCTCTCTCTCCCTGTGTCTCTCTCATCTCTCTCCCCATGTCTCTATCTCACTGCATCTCTATCGCCCCCATGTCTCTATCTCCCTGTGTCTCTCATCTCTCTCCCCATGTCTCTATCTCACTGCATCTCTCTCCTCCCCATGTCTCTCTCTCCCTGTGTCTCTCTCATCTCTCTCCCCATGTCTCTATCTCACTGCATCTCTCTCCTCCCCATGTCTCTCTCTCCCTGTGTCTCTCTCATCTCTCTCCCCATGTCTCTATCTCACTGCATCTCTCTCCTCCCCATGTCTCGCTCTCCCTGTGTCTCTCTCATCTCTCTCCCCATGTCTCTATCTCACTGCATCTCTCTCTCCCCATGTCTCTCTCTCCCTGTGTCTCTCATCTCTCTCCCCATGTCTCTATCTCACTGCATCTCTCTCTCCCCATGTCTCTCTCTCCCTGTGTCTCTCTCATCTCTCTCCCCATGTCTCTATCTCACTGCATCTCTCTCTCCCCATGTCTCTCTCTCCCTGTGTCTCTCTCATCTCTCTCCCCATGTCTCTATCTCACTGCATCTCTATCGCCCCCATGTCTCTCTCTCCCTGTGTCTCCCTCTCCCCTGTGCCTCTCTCTGACTCTCACCGCGTCCGCGTTGTCCCCCAGGAGGCGGAACTTGCGGGCCTGGCGGCTGCGAGCGAACTTGCAGCCATTGAAGTACATACTCCATGAGCAGCCGAACGAGAAGGAGGCTCCCCGCGTCTCCTCCCTCCGGCCCTGGCATGCACACGTGCGGCTACGCACACAGAGACACAGGCACACGGGGAGAAATACACACACGGACACGGGGAGGGGGAGAGACATGGGGAGAGACACGGGGAGAGGGAGAGAGACAGAAACGTCACATTGGCTAGAATCATGTTGAAAATTCCATTGAAAGTGGAGGGTAAGGTAAGACAGCGAATTGATAGAGACACGGGGAGACACAGAGAGACATGGGGAGAGGAGACCGAGAGACGTGGGAAGAGACAAGGGGCCGATGACAAGTCCACAACGGATATGCCGGTCTTCTTGGTTCTTTCGGTAAAGTCACGTAGAATGGAAATAATAAAATAACAAAAATAAAACATTATATAATAAAAAGAAAACATAATATAATGTTTTATTTTATTATTTTATTATTTCCATTCTACGTGACTTTACCGAAAGAACCAAGAAGATGAATCCCTGCAGTCACGAAAGCTTTAAATCGGATATGCCGGTGCTGGATTTTCATTTTGAATCTGGCCTCAATGTGCATCGCAAAGAGGCCAAAACTTGAAAACAACAGCAGCTCCTTCTGCTCCGTCAAGGTCGGAATCGCCGCTTGTTCTTCAGGGATGACTGACTCGACAAGGAAGCTGATTCTCTGGAGGAGGAGGATGATGATGGTTTGTTTCAGGGGTTTTTTGGTTGTCTCACAGGAGTGATATCCATCCTATAAGCTCCCCGGTACGCCAGTTGGTTCGCCCAGGTTTGGATATTGTTTTTGGGATGCATCCGGTTTTTCATGGTTTCGCTCTATGTATATATATGTAGAGGAGTAAAATGGGGACGTGACGTCAGGTGTGCCATTCAGTGCGATGACATCACGTCTCCTCGGGTACTTAAGGGATACCCCGTGACGTAAGCGGGGTCACTGTGGGAACGGGTAAAGTAAACAGGGTGAAGAGGGAACCAGGGGTAGAGAAAGGGATCGAATAGCGAGTCTGGGGAGAAGCCGGTGGTAGCAGCCGTAGAGGTGCTTCTCTCTCCGGTCGGTGGAGTCGGCAGAGTCCCCGATCCGACACGAGAGAGAGAGACCGGAGCTAGCCGGCAGGGACACGGACTCAGAGTAGGACCCCTAGCCCCTGGGAGTTGTGTATCCTTGTGTGTTATTGTTCACGTTTAATAAACCCTTGGCGGAAGCCCTTAACTTACCTCCGTCTACGAGTACGTCCGTCTGGGACTTCTCTACACACACATTGAACTTCTTTCGCACCGTAAGTAGCCAATCAAGATAATCGATGTACAAGGTTTGCCAGCCATTGGGGTACCGCTCGGGCCTAAGTGATGGAGGAATTCTGGGGGGGAGTAGGGGGATACCATCTCTGCCATTTCAGCCAGACCCCCCCCCCCTCACTTAGAAACACGGTGAGACAAGGGCAGCTATAGAAGAGGGACGCAGAGAGATGGAGAATGCAGGGAGAGGGAATGAGAGAAAAATACCTTGAGTCTCAATCTCCCTGTGTCTGTCCGAGTGAGTCTCTCTCCCCGTGTCTCCCCGTGTCTCTCTCCCCGTGTCTCTCTCTCTCCCCGTGTGTCTCTCCCCTGTGTGTCTCTCTCCCCATCTCTCTCCCGGTCTCTCTCACTCCCCGTCTCTCTCTCTGCCTGTCCCTGTATCTCTCTCTCCATATGTCTCTCTCCCCATGTGTGTGTCCCCAAAACGAGGTGGAGAAAGCGGGGAGAGAGAGACAGAGAATGAGAGAGAGTGAGAGAGACCCGGGGAGTGTCTCTTTCTCTTCCCCGAGTCTCCCTGTGTGAATCTTTCTCTCTCCCACATGAGTCTCTATTGCTCTCTGTGCATCTCTCTTTCCCTATGAGTCTCTCTCTCCCCCTATCTCCTCGTGCGAGTCCCGCTCTCTCCCCGTGTCTCCCCATCTCGCTCTCCCCGCCTGTCACTCACTCGTCGTTTAGTTCACATCTGCGGCTGGTGGGCGCTCCGTGGCGTGTGAGCGTCTCCGACAGCTCGCTGTACAGGAGGTCGGCGAGCTCCGAGGGGACGCCCTCCCACGCCACCATCACCACCACCATCACAGCCTGGGCACAGCTGTGGCCACGGCGCTCCCGCACCACTACCAGCAGCTTCTCCTGCAGCCCGCCACGGCGCAGCACCTGACGGACGGGGAAAGGCAGAGAGAGGGAGAGATGGGGGGGATAGAGATGAATGGGGGAGATGGGGGGGAGAGATGGGGGGGGAGATGGGGGAGAGATGGGCAGGAGAGAGGGAGAGAGAGACGAAGGAGAGGGAGAGAGATGGAGAGATGGGGGAGATGGGGGATAGAGACGGGGGAGATGGGGGGGAGAGAGGGAGAGAGAGAAGAGGGAGATGGGGGTGAGATTGGGGGGAGAGAGATGGAGAGAGAGAGACATGAAGAGAGACCAGGTTTTAACATGCAGTGTCTCATCAGCAGCAGAGCCAAGCTCTACTTGAACCAGTGCTGGTGAACTGGCCAGGCTTCTTGGTTCTTTCGGTAAAGTCACGTAGAAGGGAAGTAATTAAATAATAAAAATAAAACATAATAAAATAATTCTCACGACGTTTCGGCCACAACGCAAGCAGCCGTCCTCAGGTGAAAACCAGGTCTGTCGAGGCGACAGCGTCTGACTCAAACAGCACACGTGCTTGGAGCATATATATAAGCTGGGTTGGAAGGGGGGGAAAGGGCGCCTTGACAAAATAATTTGCATATCAAGAGGAATTTAGCATATTTATTGGAAATGCAGGTATGTGATTAGTACTACTTATGCCCGTGCATTATGCAGGATTAGCAGCATCAAAGGGAGGGGATAGGGGTAGCATTAAATTCCTCTTGATATGCAAATTCTATCATCATCATCACCACCACTATCATCATCACCACTGCCACAGTTTCATCACCCACCACTATCATCATCACCACCACCACTATCACCACCATCACAGTTTCATCATCACCACCACCACTATCACCACCACAGCTTCATCACTATCACCACCACCACCACTATCATCATCAGTATCACCATCACCACCATCATTACCACCACAGTTTCACCATCACCACCATCATTACCACCACAGTTTCACCATCACCACTATCACCACCATCACAGTTTCATCATCACCACCACCACTATCACCACCACAGCTTCATCACGACCACTATCATCATCACCAACACGACTATCATCATCAGTATCACCATCACCACCATCATTACCACCACTACTATCACCACCACAGCTTCATCACCACCTCTATCACCATCACCACCATCACAGTTTCATCATCACCACTATCACTATCACCACCATCACAGTTTCATCATCACCACCACCATCACAGTTTCATCACGACCACTATCATCATCACCACCACCACCACCACTATCATCATCACTATCACCATCACCACCATCACAGTTTCATCATCACCACCACCACTATCACGACCACTATCATCATTACCACCACCACTATCACCACCACAGTTTCACCACTGTCACCACCACAGCTTCACCATCACCAGAGCCGGCCCTAGACCTTTGGGGGCCCTAAGCAAAATTTGGTTGGAGGCCCCTTTGATGTATGATTTTTTTCACCCACGAGCTAGCAGTGACTCTAGGGGGCCCTCTGCAGGCCACGGGGCCCTTTGCAATTGCAAGGGTCGCTTAGTGGCTGGGCCGGCTCTGACCATCACCACCATTACAGTTTCATCATTACCACCACCACTATCACCACCACCACAGTTTCACCACCATCACAGTTTCATTACCACCAGCAGCAGCACCACCGCCTCACGCTTCTTCCCACACACACCGGCGGCGCCTCTGAACAAGGACTCACCCACTTGGCGATGGGGCATCCCTGCGAGCTGCGGCCCTCCTTGCCCGTGAAGATCACCTTCTCGATCCGGATCGCCTCGCCCTTTTCCCCGAACCTACACGCACGCAGAGAGAGAGACACGGGGAGAGGGAGGAGACACGGGGGGGGGAGGGGGGGTAGGACGAGACATGTGTAGGAGACACAGAGGAGAGGGAGCAGGAGACATGGGGAGGAGACACGGGGGACGGGGAGGGAACACGGAGGGGTGGAGACATGGGGGGCGGGGGGGGGACACGGGGGGGTTAAGACATGGGAGGGGAGGGGACATGGAGAGGAGGAGCCATGGGGGGAGGGCGAGGAGACACGGGGAGGGAGGGGGGGATGTCAAGCTACAAGACGCGTTGCTCACGCCACCTACAGCACGGCAGCTGTAGGGCATTGCACTCCGTGTGCAGTGTCAGCCCCTGAGAGCGAGGGGGCGAGAGCGCCTGGGGCAGCGCAGGGGTGACGGGGGGGGGGCCATGACACTCCGGATGAACCCGGAGGGACCTGGTGACCAGAGGTACCAGCCCGGGGGCCCCCAAAGAGGGGGCTGGGGGACCACGGGACCAGGACCAGGTCCTCAAAGGCTCGAGAAGGGAGGCGTGGCTAGGTGCGTGGGAGCCCCGGGACTGGGGATAAAAGCCGGACCCCCGAACGGGTCCGGCGGCTGTTGCAAGACCGAAGCCAGAAGCCGTCACCCGGAGAAGACCTGCCGACTATGGGACCCGGACCCGAGTCAGGGTCCGGCCCGAGATAGCCACCCCGTGTGTGCTAGGGATAGCCACACCGTGTGAGCTCGGCATAGCCACCACATGTGAGCTAGGAATAGCCACACCGTGTGAGCTAGGGATAGCCACACCGTGTGAGCTAGGGATAGCCAGCCCGTGTGAGCTAGGGATAGCCAGCCCATGTGAGCTAGGGATAGCCACACCGTGTGAGCTAGGGATAGCCAGCCCGTGTGAGCTAGGGATAGCCAGCCCATGTGAGCTAGGGAAAGCCAGCCCATGTGAGCTAGGGATAGCCAGCCCATGTGAGCTAGGGATAAGCCACCCCGTGTGAGCTAGGCATAGCAACACCGTGTGAGCCAGGGATAGCCAGCCCGGAGGAGACACCTCCCTAGGGTAGCTGGTGAAGGGGCAGGCATACCCCTTCGTGGTTAGGGTTTAATGTTTCAATACACGTGTTGCCTCCAAATAAGTCTCTGCCTCCCTCGTGTGAACCACAACAGGTACATTGGTGTTGGTGGTGGTTACCTCTCCTCCATGGTTTCCCTGATGGCAGCCACACTGGGCCCGGCGCACAGGTGAGTGTAGTAGGGGCCTTCCTCCTTCTCAAGCACAGTCTCTACAGAGAGAGAGGGACACGGGGAGTGAGACACGGGGAGTGAGAAACGCGGGGAGTGAGAGACGCGGGAAGAGAGAAATATGGGGAGAGTGAAACATGGGGATGGAGACACAGGCAGAGAGACATGCGGAGTGAGAGACAGGGGGAGTGAGAGACACGGGCAGAGAGAGACGGGAAGAGAGACACAGGGAGAGAGACATGGGGGGAGAGAGACAGGTAGAGAGACATGGGAAATGAGGAGTGAGATGCCGTGACGCCTGATCAATATTCATATCCACAACACACCATGAATATTCATGAACCAGCTGGTAGCTCATTAATATTCACTAGGCATAGGCAGGGGCGTGGGAACCAGACAGACTGGGGGGAAGGGCAAAGGAGGTGGGGGTGGTGAATCCCCCCCTCCCTCATCTGCATATCCATCATTTGCATATCGGTCTGTAAAGCAGCCTCCTGTAAATCACCCAGTTTTCCGGCCGCCTTTGTCTCCCCTCCCACCCCTTCCCCTCCCCCCGCGGTGCTGATGTTTAACAACACACTGCAGTGCACATGGTAAAGTGATGGAGGGGGAAAAAAAGTAGGAATATGGTGTTTTTAACCCCTTGTTGGCCAATAAACCAAACCTGTCAACCCCTTATAAGTGCCCCTACCTTATTACAGACCAATTCAGACCTTATTGGTCACCCCGTGCCCTTATAAATTTCAACGTTCATCCTACAAAGTCCCATCGCAAGGCAGGAACACAAACAAATTAAAAGCATGTTTTTGTTGCCCATATTGAAACGGCTGTACGTTGTATGGAAACTCAATTTCCCTGTAAAAGAATATGGGGTAAGCCGTATGGGTTGACAGGCGTGATAAACACTGGAGTTTGTGTGTTCAGATGGTCAAACAACGACCAAAAGACAACACCCACACTATTGCAAGACATTGGCAAGTCTCTGCATGCTTCATGCGTTGGTTTCTCAATCCACTTGTCCTGGTGAGGCTTGTGGCAAAAAACATGCAGACTAACGTGCTTCGATGATAATCATAATGTTATATGCGTTGTCTTTGAAACTGATTGGCATACACGAGAGACAGCCTTCATAAATGTCCACGTGATGATGATGATTATCAGCCACTTCGTTGAGCCGCTATAATTTGTGATAGGACAGCTCAGGGATTCTTAAAAAGCGAGACAGTAGCTCAGTGGGGCCTTACACGTAGTATACAATACAATTTTGTTTAGTTTATGGCTTCGTCTCTGTACCAACATTAGACCATAGAACACATCTTGGCGTTCTCTGGTCTAACACTGGTACAGAGATGAGGCCATAAAGAAGGCTATCTCTGGTGTTGCCCAATCAGTTTCAAAGACAATGCATACATTATTATCTGAGCAGGTTTTTTTGTATGTTTTGCCACACGTTTGTGTGGTTATAGCATATGTGATGCCTTGCAATAGTGGGTATCTATTTGGTTGTTTGAACATCTTAACACAACTCCTGTTTCATTGCCATAGAGATCCACAGAAATACAGAGACCCATATATAACCAGAGACCCACAGAGACCCATACTCGAAGTGGTTGATATCATCGTGTGAACATTTTATAACAGCAGCGAAATGCTTGATACGCATGTTTATATAGACTCGCAGAGACCCATAGAGATCCATGCTCATCGAGACCCATACGAAAACTAAACATTTTTTTTCTTTTAACCAGGCTAGCTCCACTGAGCTATGTAACTCTTTTCCAGAAGTGACACGGCCACAGATGATAGCTCAACGAAGTTGCTGATATCATCATCATCGTTTAGAAATTTATAGCAGCAGCCAAATACTCTAAACACGGGATGTCGATTCTAAAATGTGGAGGGGAAAACCGGAAGATCCGGAGAAAAATTAACGCGACCATCACGGGGGGAGAGAGAGATACAGCAGGTGTCAGGGTCGGGATCAAACCCACGACCACTTGCATACCAAGCGAAGTAGTTAACATCTCCTAACCACCACGGCATCCCTCTGACTTCCCACACCACTCACGCACGGTCCCCCCCCTCACGCACACTCCAACAACAACCGCCATTCGCAACTAAGTGGCGGCGATGTCACCACGGCACCTGTGCCAGGCTAGGTGCACTATAATGCCACGTGAAGCATCGAACGCCAGCTGGCAGGAAGTCACGGGACAGACCCTTTGGGTGCCATGGGTTGACTGACTGAGATAATAATAATTCCATGTATTTAGTGGCTTTTCAGCAAGGATCTCAATACATTGTACAGGACACAGCAGCAGCAGACACTTGGCATGAAAAATACTTATATTATAATTACATTTGAAAAATGCATTCATATTGAACGAACTAACAGTTTAATTTGTGAAAGTGTATGGAAATCGGGTTTTAAGACGCATTTTTTAAATGACTCCGAGAAATCCTGATACCTCGTTGAAGGGCGTTGCATAGCCTGGGGGCTACACAGAAAAAATCTCGGGTCACCCATTGACCAAAGCCTCGACCCGGGAATGCAGAGCAGATCTGCGTATCCCCCAGATCATAGGGGCCGCGAGGTGACATATGGGTGCAGCATGTCAATGATGTCGGCGGGGGTTAATATGGTTGAGCGCTTTGTAAATTAACAATAGGAACTTTTTACTGTATTTTTAAAGTGAAACTGAAAGCCAGTGCAAGGGAGGCCAACAAAGGCGTAATGTGATGTGAAGGTGTTCCGGTAAACACCCGAGCCAGCCGCATTCTGAACATGCTGCAAATCGAGATGACTGGCAACGAGCAGCACCCCCCGCCCCACTCACCCCTCCTAACAAAACCAACCGCTGCCATTTACCACTAAGGGGAGGTGATGTCACCACGGCGCATGTGCCAAGCAAGGTGCACTTTAAGGCCACGTGAAGTGGATTTCCCTACACCTCTGCTGTAGCAGATGGACAGAAAATGTGGCATCTGTGCAGGACCACCCTGGTCTGAAACCACATTGGGGCTCCGCAAGCCTCTCCTCAGCGTGCCCGGTAAGGCAATGTTGAATAATTCTTGCCACGACCTTTCCCGGCACATTGAGGAGGGAGATGCCCATGTACTTGTTATAGTCTGTGCGGTCCCCCTTCTTAAAGTGGAGGACCACCAGAGAATCCTTCCAATCCTGTGAGATCATCTCTGCCCGGCACTTTCCTTTGTCTCAGACCATGGATCACCTTCCATACTTCCTCAACAGTTGGAACTTCAGCCAGCCACTCACAGGGGGTGACCACTTCTTCCAACATTTGAGGCACAACAGCCTCAGCAGGTTTATCCCCAGTTTGCCATGATGTATTCTGGGCTGAAGGATTTCCTATCCCTTAAGACCTCACAAAAATGCTCAGCAAATATGTAAACCTATTCATGTGGGTCAGAGATCGGATAATATTTCTTTCCCCTAAGAATAGTGATAGTTATGGGACTACAAGTCACTTTTTTGATGGAATTAAACAGTAATTATGTGATCGCAAGCTACTGAAGCAGACTCCATCTCCTCAACAACCTGCGACCACCACTCATACTTGCAATGGGCCATGGCTCTCCGAACCTTCGAGCGAAGGCTGTGGAAGCCTCCTCATTCTCCGACGTGGGATGCTGTAAACAGTGGGAGTGGGCCTGTAGCTTTTTCTCAGCCAGCTGGAACACCTCCTCCATTAGCCAAGGTCTCTGGGGAGGTTTGGACCATGTACCCAAAGTAGCCATTCCAGCTGCATGAGCCAAAGTCTTTAACCTCACCCATTTCTCCTCGGCACCAGAACGCGGGGTGACGATGACAACCGCAGCTGCATGCAATGATGAAATTCTCGCTTCCAACTTTCATCAGCTAGCTGAGACAGGCCACTTTCGGTTTCAATGGGGTCTGAGATGGACATCCACCACCAGAGTGGAAGAATGGCAAGTGCTTCATCTTACAGATGACAAGCCGATGCTCAGTGGGCAGTTCAGCTCCACGGTAAGTCCTGGTGTCAAGGACATGGGCCTGCATCTGCTGTTCCATCACTATATAGTCCAGCAGATGTTCTTGCTTAGACCTGGTGTGCAACCATGATGTTGCGTGGATGCTCCGATGCCGGAACAGGGTGTTGGTAATTACAAGCCAATGGGCTGCACTGAAGTCTAGCAGCCTCCTATCGTTGTTATTGAGCTCATCTGGCCCATGCCTTCCAATCATCCTAGCTCAGGTGCCAGCATCATGACCCACTCAGACATTAAAGTCACCCAACAGGATGACTTTATCCCGATGGGCCACTTTAGATAGCACCTGTGACAGGAGGTTATAAAAGTCTGACTCACCGACCTTGCCTACATCCCTCCACTGATGTTCATCTTCGATAGGGGCGTAAGCAACCACCACCATTCCTTGCCTCCTGTTTATGGGGAGGAGAGCCCACAGTAGCCTCGGGCTTACAGCTTTCCCACACCTCACCACCACGCCCCCTTCATTATTTTGTTTAGAATAAGAGCCACTCCATGTTGTTTAGCAATCTCCTGCCTAAAGTGGAGGACTGTCCACCCCTCATGGTGACTGGAACCAGAGCCGGTCCACCGGACCTCCTGAATACCAGAGAACCAGGCGGTACTGGCCCAGCTCCCGACGGAGAAGTGACAGCCTCTCCTCCGCAGTGAGAATTCATACATTTCATGTCGCCACTCGCAGTGGTTTTTTGCCAATTCTGGAGGAACTCCAAGGTTAAGGATCCAGTCCCCTCACCCCATCCACACTCACCCGCACTCCCCCCCTCACCCCCAATCACCCACTTCCCCCTGCACCCTCACTCACGCTCACCCACCCCTACTCACCCACACACGTGCACGTGGGGAACTCGCTGATCGGAGGCAGTAGCGGGGACCTCGCTCTGGGTGGCTCCCCAGCGTTGGCGGAGTCTTCCCCCCCCTCCTCCGTCCCGGCCGCGGCGCCCACCAGGGGGTTCTCCGCGGGGGCCTCTCCGTCCAGGGAGGGGGCCGTGGGGTGGGCGGCTGTGGGGGGGGCGGTAGTCTCCCCGGGGTGCAGCACTCGCCTCACCGCTTCGGTCAGGAAACGCCCGGGGGAGGCCAAAAAGGTGTCCAGGGACGGGGCCGCCGCTGGAGGCTGCCGGGGGCCCCCTCCCTCGTTGGTGGCCCCTCCCTCCCCCTCCCCACCACCAGCACTGCCACCGACATCCACGGTGGAGCGGAGGACAGCCACGGAGCCCGACACGTCCAAGCGCGCTCGGCCGCCCCCCTTGGCTAGGCCGAGCCTGTAGGCCTGCGCCGGGTGGTGGTGGGGGAGGTGGTGGGAGTGGTGGTGTGGGTGGTGGAGGTGGTGGGGGGTGGTGGCCACCATTGCCACAGACGACGGGGGGCAACCCCCTGCCGAAGCGGTGGAGGCTGCGGAGGAGGAGGAGGGCAGAGGAGGAGGCACAGAGGGAGGAGCCGGGGAGACCCCGAGGATGCGCAGGAGTTCGGAGTGGGGGCTCCGATCGGCGGGTTTCAATCGAACCAAAACTCCCCCTCCTCCCCCATCTTGTAATCCGGCGCCATCTTGTAATCCCCGACCGCTGCCGCCGCCATCTTGTAATCCTTCATCAGCTCGTAAGTCTCTACCGTGTCGTAATCCACCATCTTGCAACCTTCCGCCATCTTGTAATCCTCCACCACCATCTTGTAATCTTCCACCATCTTGTAGTCTGCCACCATCTTGCAACCGGCCGCCATCTCCTAGTCCATCTCCATCTTGTAATCCTCCGCCGTCTTGTAATCTGCCGCCATCTTGTAATCTGCCACCATCTTGTATCCGGCCGCCATCTTGCTTTGCTTTCTCCCGCCCCTTCTGCTTCTTCTTCTTCTTCACCTCCTCCTCTGTGGTCGAGGAGGCCTCAGCGTTGTCAGTGGCCGGTTTTAACCCCTGATTCTGCTGCTGATGCTGTTGCAGATGGTGCTGTTGATGATGATGCTGGGCGATGACGCTGTTGAGATGCTGGTGATGTGGTTGGTAATGGTTGTTCAGGTGGTTGTTGCTGCTGCTGCTGTGGTCGTGGTGGTGGCTGTTGTTGAGGTGCTGCTGCTGTTGCTGCTGTTGCTGCTGCTGATATTTGCCTGAGGACTGTAGCAAGTTCAAGGCCTTTCCTGAGGAAAATGGCAGCTGCAACTGTTGCTGCTGCTGCTGGTGATGCTGGTGTTGTTGAAGCTGATGCTGAAACTGAAGCTGCTGCTGCTGCTGATGATGTTGCTGCTGCTGATGATGATGATGAATCTGCTGCTGCTGATGATGATTAGACCCTATAGCTGACTGAGACTCCAACTCCTCGAAGAACCTAACCGCTGAAAATGCTCCACTTTTTAATGGCCCCTCTTGCTGCTGCTGCTGCTGCTGCTGCTGCTGAAGATGATGATGATGCTGCTGCTGATGATGATAATGCTGATGATGCTGCTGCTGCTGGTGAGGGGTCATCACCGCCTGCCCACGACTCACGGAGGCAAAGTTTAGCAGATCAAGGACCGCCGAGTCGGTGATGGAGTCCCGGGCGGAGAGCTGTGGGGCGGCGGCGGCGGCGGTGGGCCCGGGGATTTGCGTTGGACCCAGGGCGGCGTGGTGGGGGCCCAGGGCTAGGGGGGCCACGTGGGGGGACACGTGGGGGGCCAGGGAACCCCCCGGTGGGTGGCTCTGCGATAGCTTCGTCAGAGCCTCGATGACCATCACCTGCTCGTGGCTGATGTCGCTTTGGAATCTTGCGCACGGGGGGGGGGGGGGGGGGGGTGGGGGAGAGATATAGAGAGAGAGACACGGGGAGAGAGAGGTGTGAATATTAATGAATCCTGCATGCGAGTCCATTTTTCTAGTTAAGGCCCACTGAGCTGTGTAGTTCTTTTTCAAAAGTGAACTGCCAATCACAAATGGTGCGGCCGGGTACGGGTAAGGAAACAAAACCCATTTGCGACCTCTGCAGCAGCTCAACAGATTGGCTTATCATCATCACGTGGACATTTATAGCAGCAGCCAAATACTCTGAACGCATGATGTTGATTCTAAATTAGGAAAATCCAGGTGACCACCACGGGGAGAACATGCAAACTCGAAATATACAGGCATAGTCACAGTTGGGATCGAAACCATGACCTCCTGTATACTCGGCGAAGTAGTTAACATCTAATCACCACGTCAATGAGTCACTGTACTAGGTCTGCCCAATCCCTACTCACCTAGTGACCAATACTAGTCTAAGCCACTCCATTCTGTTGCCCACCAACATTGCCCGTCGGTGCGTTGCCGTATGTCGATTGACGGCAACAACTTCACTGGATTGAGGTGCCGCGATGGCTAGGGAGATGTTAACTCCCTCGCCTGGTATACAGGAGGGTTGCGGGCTTGATCCCGACCCTGACAATGCCTGCTGTATATTTGGAGTTTGCGTGCCTCTCTGTCTCTCTCTCCCCGATTATTCTCCAGGTCCTCCGGTTTTTCTCTCCACATTTCGAGTGATTTAGCTGCTGCTGTACATTTCCACACCATGATAAGCCACTTTGTTGAGCTATCATACGTGATGGCCAGGTCGATTCTGAAAAAGACCGACATAGACCAGTTAGGCCTAACTTGGTAAAATAAAATAAAAATAGTTGAGTCTATATGACTCGATGTATCTCTTTGGGTCTCTATGCATCTCGATGAGTCTCTATGTGTATCTATGGGCATCTGTATCTCTCTGGGTCTCGATGCATCTCTAAACATTTAGAGAGTATTTGGCAGCTGCTATAAATTTCCACGTGATGAAGACAAGCCAGTTACGTTGAGCCATCATTTGCGATAGCCAGGTTCGCTTCTGACAAAGAGTTATACAACTCAGTGGACCTTACCGGGTAAAGTAAAAAAAAAGGTCTTGTTTTAGTTCATAATGGCCTTTACACTCACCCCTCCATCCCTCACCCAGGCCCCTCATCCTCACCTTTGCGAGGTGGGACTCATGTTCCAGAAGGAGTGCTGGCTGGATTGAAGGCTGTGGAGATTATCTGGGTTCCACGGCCATTGCTGATGATGATGATGCTGCTGCTGGTGCTGCTGATGATGTTGATGGGTGAGCAGCTGCTGATGCTGCTGCTGATGGAGCTGATGTTGCCAGGCCTTCTCAAGGCTGGAGGCCTCGACATCTTCATTGGGAACCGGGAAATGAACCTGGCCAGGACAACACGGGAGGTGAAGGATTAAGTTATTCGCTCACCTACCCACTCATTCACCTACTCACTCGCATATGTACTCTTTCCCCTACTCAATCAACCAATCACTCGCCTACCAACACATTCACCTACACACGCAATCACCCAGAGACCCACCCATTCACTCAAAAGGATGGATACTTTCTCTAGTATCTGTGGCAATGTCGACTACACCTTGCCAGACACTCATCCACCAACTCACTCACTCACCTACACACTCATCTACCAACTCACTCACCCAACAACAACAACCGCCATTCGCCACTAAGTGGCGGTAACGTCACCACGACGCTTGTGCCAGGCTATGTGCACGTTAAGGTGAGGTGTCGAACGCCCGCTGGCAGAAAGTCACGGGACAGGCCCAGGTGCCATGGGTCAACTGGGTCAACTTACCCACGCACCCACCGAATCACACACCAATTTATTCACTCAACTAATCACTCACCTACCCACTCACTCGCCCACTGACGCACACACTCACTCACCTACTCACTTGCCTACCCACTCCCCCACTTATTCACCGACTCACTCACCCACCCACTCACTTCCAGGTTCTGGATATTTTTTTACTGGCGCTATGGGAGCTCCAAGTATTGTGGGAAGCTCACACAGAGTTAGCAGTGGGTGTTGCTAATGGTGACGTCACGTCTAGACACTGGGCACTTGTCTCCAGACACAGCTGGTGACGTGATGGGGGAGGGGAGTAGGGGGAGTGGTGGATGAGGGGAGGGGCTTGGGGGGGGGCGGTGGACGTTGTGAGTCACGTGACCACAGCGGAAACGTCCGTGTCTTCATTGTGAGTCATGATCTCTTCCCGGCTTGTGAATGCAATGGGGAGGGAATAGTGCTGCTGTTAGCACATTGCGCTACGAATCAGAGGTACGCTGAGACACCGACAAAGACCCCCTGCAAGGCCTGAATAGACTGTTGGAGCAAGTGCTGTTAGCGAGTAGCACCTATAAAGCCCGGCACAGCACACGAGAGGGTGGGTGGTCACCTTTATCTCCCCAGCGGTGGTGTCTACTACACACCGCACCAGGTACTCATTTCAGGCTGAGTCGACCTAGGGGAGGCCCAGGACCGGTTAAAATAATCATCACTGGTGTTGGCCGTGAGCGGGAATCGAACCCGGGTCGCCAGGTTCATAGCGCAGCGCGCTGACCACTACACTACCGCTCCCCACACACAGATACACATACAGATATGACAACAGCTGCTATTCATCACTAAGTGGCGGTCACATCACAAAGGCGCTTTTTCTAGGCCAGGCACACTCCAAAGCCATTTGAAGTGTCGAAGGCTCGCTGACAGATCGCAGGACAGACCGAGGTGCTATGGCTTGCCTGAGATGACTGGCAGATGCACCACTTCTGTCCCCTACTCTGCCAACTTGCAGCTCGTTATTGTGAGTGTCTATCCTCTGCCCTCAATTGTAGTTGGAGGGTGTAATACCTTCAACTGTCCAGTAACTCCCTTCAGGGGCCACCACCACAGAGGCTGATCTTGACACCGCTGGTACCAGTCTTCGGCAATTCCACTCGGCTCCACATACTTCTGTACTGCATCAGTCAATTTCTCCTCTAGCCCATGCCATGCCCCATTAGCCCCCTCTATCCGGCCAAACAGAAGCCAACGCAGCCGGAGGAACTCATTGGTGGGAATATATCTAGATCTTTCAAGGATTTGCGAGCTCCTCACACAATCCAACCTGGCTAAACCAAGGATGGATCGTAGGCAGGCCAGCCTGAATGTTTAACTGGCATAGACGTTCCATTAGAGGAAACTCCGTTTCACAAGCATAGAGAAGGGAGGGCATGACTGTGGCCGAGAGTACCCGCAGCTTTGTGTGGAGCGATAGACCAGCTAGCTTCCACAGAGCGTTATGCAGACAATGAAAAGATAATGCTGATTGATTCGGAGACATGTGCTGTCAAACTGGATCTGGTCATAAGCACACTGCCCAGGTATGGAAAACTCTCTACTCTTTCCACAACTCCCCCATCACCAATGGGGAGTTGAGGGGGTGGAGTCTTTGATGGCACAAAATACTCAGGCAGGTGCTTAGCTTTGGTGGGGCTCTCTTAGTGGCACGCTCAAGGCCAAGCAACAGCACCTCCAAATCCTTTTCTGAGTGAGCAGCAATCACCTGATCACCAGCATACATAACATGTTTGACCAGTATGGAGACATCCCTCGACTGTATCGGAACATCGATCAGCCCCTTATTGTATTTAAAACTATTTATTTTAAACTATTTAAACAAAAAACATATTTTACAAGGCAAGGCCCACTGAGCTATATATCTCTTTTTCAGAAGCCACCTGGCCAAAAAAATGAAAGCTCAACAAAGCGGCTTATCCCGTGGAAATGCATAGCAGGAAAATTCTCGAAACCAGCAGTTCTGGACCTTTACTGCAGCCTGCACCCATTTGCTTCTTATAAAAAAGACATCTCGCACCCCCCAGGGAGTGCGCGCACCCCAGGTTAAGAACTACTGCTCTAAAAGCATGTTTCTGTACCAGATAAAAATTTCCTCTGGTCCAGCCATGAAAAGCTGCTTTAACTACGTGGTCGAATATAATTTTAAATAATGTAGGAGCCAGAGGACATCTATGTCGCACTCCAAAGTGGACAGGGAATGATTCTGACTCCCAGCCATGTAGCTTTACCCAGGCCTGCCCACCAACATGAAGGTACTTAATGATTGTGAGCAGAGTGAGGGACTCCGAAATCATGAAGAACAGCCAAAGCCCTGGCCTATAGATGGTATCATAGGGCTTGACAAGGTCAATAAGCAGAGATAAAGGTCCTTTTATAATTCCTGACACCTCTGCTGTAGCAGACGGATACATAATATGGCGTCTGTGCAGGATCGCCTTGCCCTGAAACCACATTGTGGATCCCCAAGCCTCTCCTCTGCGTGCCTGGCAAGGCGATGTTGAATAATCCTTGCCAGGACCTTTCCTGTCACTCAGGAGGGAGATGCCCCTCTAGTTGTTACAATCTGTGTGCCCCCCCTTCATAAAGCAGGGAACCACCAGGGCATCATTCCAATCCTGTGGAACTGGTCCTTTGGTCCAGACAGTTGTGATGATGTCATGAAGGGCAAACTGCACACAGACGCTACCGTGCCTCAGCAGGTGGCTTGGGAGATAATCTCTGCCCGGCACTTTTCCTTGTCTCGGACTCTGAATCGTCCCTCGCACAGATGGCACCTCAGACAAGACACTCGCAAAGGGTGGCTAACTTCTGTCAATATTTGGGGCACTACAGCCCCAGCAGGGGCATCTCAACCTTTCCCCATGATGTTATCTCGGCTGAGGGAGTTCCCCTCCCTAAGATCTCATAGAAAACCAGCAGACCTGTTATTGGGGGCCAGAGATCTGATTGCCATTCTTTCCCTTAATGATGGTGATACATGAGGCACTGCAAGTTACTTTTTGGATGGAATTAAAGAGTGGTTTGTGATTGTGGGCTACTGTGGCAGATTTTTCCTCCTCAACAACCCACTCCCATGACTGATCCTTGCAGCACCGCAGGGCTCTCAGAACCTCCAAGCAAATCCTGTGGTAAGCCTCCTTATTCTCTGACGTGGGATGTTGCAGACAACGGGAATGGGCCTGTCGTTTTCTCTCAGCCAGCCGGAATATGTCCTCATTCAGCCAGGGTCTCTGGGGAGATCTGGACTGCATACCCAACGCAGCCATTGCAGCTGCATGAACCACAGTCCTGACCCTCACACATTTCCCCTCAGCATCAAGAGGAAGGCAATGCCAACGCCAGCTGCAAGCTATGTTGAAATTCCTGCTTGCAATTATTAGAGGTGCCACGGTGGTGAGATTTTAACTCCCTCGTCTGGTATGCAGGAGGTCGTGGGTTTCATCCATGCCCTGACGCCTGCTGTATATCTGGAGTTTGGATGTTCTCCCCGTGGTCATGCGGATTTTTGTCCAGGGTTTTTCCCGACAATCAGAAACACGCGTTCAAAGTGTTTGGCTAATATAAATTTCCACGTGCAAAGCCACTTTGTTGAGCTACCATTTTTAGGCAAGTAGCTTTAAAAAAAAAGCTATATAGCTCAGTGGGCCTTACCTGGTACAATGAAAATTGTTTATAGTTTCATAGCTAGCTAGACCAGAGCACCTGTGGACTTGAATGGGGTCCTAAATGGACACCCACCACTGGAGTGGAAGAATGGCAGGCTTATCGTACAGATGACAAGCCGATCATCATTGGCTAAATCAGCTCCACGGTAGGTTCCTGGTGTCAAGATCATGGGCCCACAACCGCTGTTCCATCACTATATAGTCCAGCAGATGTTCTTGCTTGACCCAGGCATGAATGCATAATGCTGTGTGGATGTGCCTATGCCGGAACAGCGTGTTGGTAATTACAAGCCCATGGTCTGCACACAATTCTGGCTGCCTCCTATTGTTATTATTCAGCTGATCTGGCCCAGGCTTTCCAATCACTCCGGCCCAGGTTTCTGCATCATGACCCACTTGGGCACTGTAGCTTGCATGTGAAACAGGAGGTTACAGAAGGCGTCTGACTCATCGGGCTTTTCTGCATCCCTCCACTAATGCTTATCTTCGGCGTGGGCATAAGCAACCACCACTACCATTACTCACCTCTTATTGATGCGGAGGCAAGCCTACAGCAGCCTGGGACTCAGAACTTCCCACACGTTGCCTCCACTCTCCCACACCCCATGCATTCTCTTGTTTGGTCATTTCCTGCCCAGTGGAGGAATTTACACCACTCATGGTGACTGGAGTCAGAACCTAAACTTTTCCAAACAGGTTTAGGTGGTATCTGTCCTTCTCACGACAGAGGAATGGCGGCCTCTCCTCCACAGCAACAGTTTGATCATTCCACATGACCAACAGCAGTGGTCTCCTGTTCCTGGAGGAACCCTGAGAAGGGGGTCCAGTCTGACTCCGCCAAATTGAGTTTGGC